GGATTCTTTTACCCCCCCCCCCCCCCATCTATCATTGCCCCTTCACCCTTCTGCTCTCTATTGAGCTTTCTGTGCTGACGTTGCTTTCTGATGCCTCCATCAGCTAGATCTAGGTTACTCTGTAGCAAAAAGTGCTCTACGCCTAAGTATTCTGGGGAAATTTTGCAGTAAAGCAGGAATATTCAGCAGCAAAACAGGCAAGGGGGTATGCCCAACCGGATCAGTCACACAGCAAGATGCATTCCTCCCCAGTGCAATCACAGCAGGACTTCAGCCCTTGGTCTCAAAAATGCTAACGCTCACAGAGGCAAGCTTTAGGTAAGCAAGCTTTACCTCCATTTCGTGCAATGATCCTAAGACTATGCAAAGCCTGTGAAGAGGCAAGATAAAGGATGGCACTTAAGAATAAACACCCTATTTATGATAGGGCATATCATAAATGCCCTTCTTCACACCACCTCTAGACATCACAGGATGAGGGCAGGTACCTTCTCCTATGACATACAGCATATTTCAGTAAGCTTTATGCATCCTCCATGCAGTTTTCAAAGACTATTTGCTAGTTCCCACAGGTATGAATGAGTGACTCATATCAGAAAGCAAAATAGTTTGCATTAATGTAATCTGCAATAGCGTAACACTGATGTGGGAGGCTTTGCTGAAATGTTCCCAGTCTGGTCTTTTTTAAATGTACTACTTCAAATGACTAGCACTTTACTGCCGCACATATCTTAAGACTAGCAGAAACCTTTAATACGAATACTTAACCTGAAAACACTACTGTCAAGGTCAGCTCACTTTTACATATTCAATTATTAATTCCCCAAATAACTCTTTGGGAATTTGCACTCTCTCCAGTGCCCCCTTTCACCAGTCAGATCTTTGCTTATATTAAATTTATAACTCTCTCCAGTCAGAGAGCTTGAAATGTTGTCACTTCCCTCCTGCTATTTAAAAACACACAACACAGTCACCGCTGACCTGGCAGCCACCTCCCACTAAGAGCAAAGAGACCCTAAAGGCAATCCAGGCTGGACTGAGGAAGTTTCCTGGAGCTTCATTTGCAGCAGACTCATGGGTAAGACGTTACAGAGATTGTCTTCTCTATTACCGCAGCAAAGTGCCAAGATAGGGTTGCAGCATCATCCTCACAGGAGGTTTTTAAGGCATGCTGGACAGACAGCAGCAGTCACTGTAAAATCGACAAGGCAAAACCTTGAGGTCCCTTGAAGCTCTGCATCTCTGATTCCAAACACCCAGAGCCCTAGCAGCATCCGCATTCACGGTGCTGGCACATGTTGCAGGCTGCGTCACCACCTCTTACGCTCACTATTGTCTGCTCGTAGCAAGACGCATCTGCCTGGAGCAGAGAAAGCAGAATCTCAGCAGCGTGGCTTTTGTTAGAGTTGTTTTTTTAAAAGGGTAGAACTGCACACATGCCCCAATTTCGCAGACTATTAAAAGGCATAAATATCCTCTGTTCAGGGAACTACTTAGGCACTTTAACCTCTGCACGTGCTCAAGCTCCTTTGCCAAGTAGACACAGTAAAGGCTTCATCAATCCTAAATAAAGAAAAAGAAAAAAGCAGAATGGAGATGAAAAAAGTAATTGTCTGACCACTAACATGCTAGAGTGGGAGCCTGTGTTTTGCTCTGCCTTTGCTGCAACCTAGAGATAAAGAAAAGCCCTTCTGGAAGAAAGAGATAGTCAAAGAAGTAACAGCCAACACTCTGCCCCTTTGTCACATCTCTTTAGAACAGTAACTGCACAAAAAATGAGTCTCAGAGAAATTTTCTCGAAAAACTGCCAAGTCCTTTTACAGTCTCCATGTTCCAGGGAAAGACAACAGCATCTTGGGGTTTTAGAGCAACCACGTACATTTTCTCCTGAGACCACTTTGCTATGGTCTTATCTATCAACACTCCTCAGCCTCTCTCCATTTCTAACCGGCTATCGCAGCCCAGGCCAGAGTTTCCTGGCAGGCACACAGGGTCCAGTTATAACTTCTAGGCACAGAAGGCATAGGCTTCTGGTTCTAAAACTTCTAGAGTTATAACTTTGAGGCACCACCTCTTACACTAATTTGCCACCAGAAAACAATCTCTTGTCCTGACCGGCACCACTGTACCTTGGGTACAGCCAGAGCAAGCTTTTCCCTCTGGCTTTTAATGGCTGTTTGAAAAACACACTGGCATAGTTTGATATTTATAGATAGATGCCTCTTTGCCCAGGATTTCTGATTAAATTCTGGTTTTCCAGCTGGCTACCAAAGCTGAAATTGATATAGTTATATTAAGATACGGCCAGGTGCTATGTTACAGGTGCCAAACAAGGGCTTTTCAGGAATACTATGATGGTTAATAATAAATGACTGCACTTGTAACGGAAATACCATCTCCAGCATTAATACCTGAGCCTGAGTAGAAAGGAAAACTTTTAATAAAACATACTTCTGAAATCTAACTCTGCTGACTCCAGTGAACACTGTCCAGAGCTCTCCTGACTCACACCACTGAGACAGGCAGCTCTCTGTAGCCTGCAACTCCGTACTGGCACCAACACATCTGCAGAACTAATATGAAAGCATGAGATGTACTGAAAGAATCTGAAGACCTGTTTTTAATATATCCCACATCCCATCCTGTGCAGGACTGAAGTAGAAGCGCTGTGAGAGGGTGGTCTGCTAGCAATTACAGCGCTGTTATGTGAACGGCTGAGTGGAAGCAATACATGAGTACAAATGATCGGTTTTGTCTCGTTTCCCTTTTCTGGCCACAATCTCCCGTTTTGGTTCAGATTTGGCGAGGCAAAAGAGGAAAAAAGACAAATACCACTTCCGAGGAGGAGCCTCAGTTATAAACAGAGAAGTTGGGTCCTCCTTGATCTGGCTGGTTTTGTTTGTAATTCTGCTCTGGGACACACTGTATTGCTTCAGTTTTGGGGAAAAAATGGTGATCCGTGTGGTCAGCTCAAATGGTGGGCTTTGCCTATTATAAGTGCTTTGCTTGAGATATCTGATTTCTATAGGTGACAGCTGAGAGCCAGATTCCATTTGGGTATACCTACACTGCTAATTGGACACCCGGAAAAATTAACAGGAAGATGAGAAGGGCTCTAGTTTTTATTTTATAAAAATATCTTTTTATTAAAAAAGTTACTTATAACACCTATCACATTAAGGTTCTAGGGAATACCCTGGAGTGAATTACACAGTGCTTCGTGAACTTCTGGTGGGTAAATAAACATCTCCACGTAGCTGTAGCTCCATCACGGCTATTCTTTAACCAATGTCTATATGTGGCTGATTAGAATACAGCTACAGAAAAGAGAGCCACACACAGTTCAGAAACATTTGTTTTAGCTTTTAGTATGCTGTAACAATTTTTGAAAGTGAATTTGTGCATGGTGCTAGAAGAAGAGAAGAATGTTATAACAGACAACTGCCGGCTACTTTGGAGTAAAATCCAGTTTAGAGGAGTGTTCAGGAGAGTGGGCTGTAGTATGGAGTTACCAGCAATTTGCAGATCTGAATTCTCCATGGGATCAAACGCTATTATTGCTACAGGACCAATTTGTGCCTCAACAGAGGCTGGAGGATTATAACCCTGAATAAAGCTAAAAACGGTACTATCCCCCGCCCCAAATTATGTGAAACACTACTGATCAGTGATTGCTCTCCCTTTCCCCGAACGTGTGCTCCACTGTTTACTTGCTTAATGTTCATGTAAGCCCTGAACCATCAGAGCTGAACTCAAGAGTTGATCCCAGAGTACTGTGAACCCGTATCCCCTACCCTCCCTGCAGAAAAATAAAGCTAGAGTAAAGTCTCCGCATGACTAGGCAGTTGAACGCTAACTACTGAGATTCTGCTTACACGTGTTTCTTACACAGACGCCGCTGTTTTGTTTAATTTTAAAATTAAGAGCTTCTCATATTCTATTAAAGAAACAGCAGGATTACTCATCCCCTACCTGTTTTTGGGCAAACATTACTCAACCGAATCACAAGAGGTAAAGCTGACAGGGCAGCGGGCTGGGAAATGCCAAGGAATCTCAGCGCATTCCCTTCCCTCCCCACGCTGCTCATTTTGTTTTCTATGGAGATGACAGGCTCCTTCAGGCATAGCCTCTACCTTGCTTGACATATTCCTGAGTGCCAGGCAGGTAACGCCGACCACAGGAGCGGCTTCCAAACCATTGCTATAATACAAATGAAAGCGATGAAGGACAATCACAGAAAAGTGTTCTGAAAGGTATGCTCAATTCCTTCATCTGCCCCGAATGTGCCCACCGGTTACTGTGGCTCTGTAAGCAATACCTTCATCAGAGGGCATAACGAGTCCAGAACTGGGCTGGGCAGACGCAGGAAAGATGTCTTTCCAGACTGTCTTCTTACTTTCTTCCAAAAGCTTGCTGGGTGACCTAAAGCAAGCAAATCACATCACCTTTCCCTGTCCATCCTGCCCAATTCCAAAGCAGAGGAAATTTGTCTCTTCTGCAAAGCATTTTCAGACCTAGTGATGAAAAGTATAATATAGGAGGTAGGTATTATTACAACCTCTCCTCTTCAACTGCAGGAAATCCCACACAAATAAGATGTATAAAGTGGCTATAACCAATTTTGTATTTAAATACCTAAATAAAACAATGCAATACAATGCACAACATGAAAATGTCTCTTTTCTTTCCTTTCTGTTGCTTTCTATTAAATCTATCTGAAACCCCAGCCCTGCAAAGAATTATATTCATGCTTAGCTTTAATCATGAGTAGTCCCACTGATTTTAACAAGAATACTCAAACCTGCACACTAAGAAATAGGAGCCTTTTCTGTTAAGCGTAACATCATTAGGCACAAGAACAAAACACATATCCAGCCACAGGCATGCCCTTTTAATATCTTTATAGGCTCCACTCAAGAGATGATATCTATCTTCCGGTCCACTAAAGGTCACCAAATCCCAGCTCTGTGACAGGATGACCTATTTTGAGATTCCCCCAAAACAAAAATCCCCCCCCTCCTGCTACAAGCTGCAGTCACTATATAGCTCGTGCTTAGCACGGCTGGTGAAACCCTTGGCCTCCACTGTGAGCATGATGGCAGTTCACATCAGCAGGCACCTGGCTCATACTCTCTGCATAGTAAACAATATATACGTACAGAAATTGTAGCTGGTCAGACAAGTGCCTTTTATACCTGACGTTCTCCCCCATAACTCCATCAAAAATGTTTTCACCCATCTAAAATAAATGGGTTGTGATGGAAAGCATTTGTTTTATAACTAGATTAAAATCACCTGAGAAGTAGATAATGTTTTACACAGTACTGTAATCTTAAAAATGATGCATTTGATGGCTAATGCTTAACTCATTTTATCAGTTTACCACTCTTCAACAGGGCCTGGAAAAAGCAATGGATATTCTCTATTCCTACTAAGTTTTTGAAAGGTAGAGGAGGCTTGAAAGTAGGAGAAAGCACATTTCCAGAAAGAAGAGCAACAACTTAGGTTACTCAAGTCTCTCCTACCTTTGAAGCCCACTCAGTGTTTTTATGTTATTGGTCATCATAACACTCAAAAAGTGTACAGGCCAGCCACTAGCCTTGTCTCTCAGGAACCATCAGTCTCCATTTCAATGTGATTTAGCAGTCAACTAGTTCTGATTGATTACCTCTTACCTGCTAAGATTGTCCCAAGGAACTGAAAACACCTTCATCTATGCATCAGTCACTAGAGGGAGCTTTCGTTATTCTATTTATATCATAGTGATAAAAAAGTAAAGTGAATAAAAGGTTATATAAAGGTTACGGGAATACTTTAGAAGTATATTTCGCACAGCACTTCAACTGCACCTTTATGTCTCATGCAAATTTTTTGGAAGAATGATGCTTTGTGCCTTAACAGGACACATTTCAAAAACAAATTCCACACCTCCCCTTACAAGGTGTACCCCATTAAGCCTCAAGATTTCTACAAGCAGAGAGGCAGTTCTATATGCCAACCAGCTGGCTAGATTACCCAGTAGTTTTGATCTGCATATACAGTCAGACAGCTCTGAGCATGCCTAAACCTGAACCTTCAAATTTGAATGTGCCAACCCAGAGCTTTAAACTATTACGAAAAATGAATGAGCAAAAGAATGACCTACAAAGTGTCTCCAATTTACAACTTTCTGCCTCTTTACAGTGTAGTCACCATCATCAGATTTATCACTACAGAAACCCTCCAAAAGAAATTTAATCAACAGCCATCAAGCTGTGGCCCACAGCAAACAAACAGAAGCTCCTACTTGATACAAGCCACTCGATCAAGTATGAATATTAAAAACATGACTAAAGAAAGATGAATACATACTGCAACTCAGAGAACAGGTATGCGCGTCTTATGCATAACATTGACAGCACTCTGATTGCTGCCTCCTACAGCATGGGCCAAAACAACTACAACATTATGCTTTTAACGTTATGCCATCTGTTCAGGCTACTGTTTTTTTCTTTTCCAAAAGACAGGTCCCCTTTTGTACCCTAAATAGAACAGCACGTAGTCTCCTCAAGGCACTTGCATTTTTTGTTTAAACCAAAACCACAAAAAGTATGGACACATGCAATGAATATAAAACTCATTAAAAAGCAATTTCAGGACTCTATGGTTGGGCCCATGCAATAATGATAGCTGCAGAAGGATACGGGATGATTTTTCCAGCATACCAGTGGTAGTGTAAGTTCTAGATACTTTGTTAATAACAATCTGGTTGCACTGGGACCCCTATTAGCTCTTGAAACCTGCTCGCAGCATCTACCAAGTTCACGGCCCCCTCCAAAACCTCTGTAAAGAAACCTCTAATAGCTGAATATGCTTAAACAACATTGCTCTTCATCATCTGATCTGTCTCCAAAGATGTGGAGCAGGAAGGGTTCAGTGAAGCTGACTACCTGCAGGAAAAAAAAGGGACCATGGAAGTAAGGGATTTCCAAGAGTGAACACTTTCCTCCGAAGCGTGATACAAACAGTCTTATCCAGATTATATCAGAATATATCTATTTCATTTTGTCAGCAATATTTTGGTAAAGTGATTTGTCAATTCCTTTTATAAGAGAAGAACTCCACGCTCTTCTAAAAGGTCATTTTCTTAACGGTACCATTCCTTTACGAGGCCAAAGAGGGCACTAAGTTCTGACAAAAAGCGAATGGCTGTATTGGAACACTACTACCCTGTGCTACCAACGGGAGCAGAAAAGACATTTTAACATGTAAAGACAATCAGAGTCATTAGTTTAGTCGACCTTGCTGCTTTTTTAAATCTCAGTCTAAAACTCTTATTTTCTCATTAGCTTATGCTAGCCTAACTCAATCAAGCATTTTGAGGTTCTGGGTAAGAAACTCACAGAATAATATCTAAGTCATTCACATCTCATGGATGAGACCGGCTCCGATTGAGGCCTCTCCATAAAATGGTTTTCAGACCAATCATTTTTCTTATTTATTCGATCATTACAAATGGAAAACACAAGGCATCCTACTTTCACACCATAAACACAAACGCTACACACGGGTATTTGTAAGCCAGTGCTGTTTTATAGATTTCTGCTTTTGGTATCAGACAATGAATCTCTGTTCTGCCCTCCCATGGTCAGACTGCTGTACATAATGAAGGCAGTGGAGCCTCAGCAGTTCAGAATATATAACCAACAACTGTTTGCAATCATCTGTGAGCACAGCCCATCCAGACCCATTTGCTTTGGTTAGGGTTAGATGGAGCTGGGGAAAGGGCATGACAGTGCGGCCAACCACTGGCTTGTGAGCCAGACTTACAGCCCACAAGCCTTTTGAGTATACTTACTTTAAGGCCAGTTTTTCCTCCTGACCATATGGATTTTAGTTCAACTGAAATAGGAAAGAAGTTCATTTCAGACAGACATATAGATAAAAATAAGGTCATGCAGGAGCCAGAAACTGAAAATAATTATGCGCACAGTGTAAAGAATGTACCTTGAACTTCTTCTTATTCTCCCTACTCACTATGATCCTCTTAATGAAAAAGGCCATCTCTGTCTGTGGTGGTATGGGATCTCAAAGGCAAAAACTGAAGAGTTGAAGCCTCATTTAGTAGAGGTTTAAATAATAGAAACTTAACGGCTACGTCTTCAGGATTATCAGCACCCTCATGCTTTCTGAAGAGCTGATAACTCAGTAGTGCCTAGCAGGACTACACCCCTCCCATGTTTTAAAAATGGGACTTCTTTTTTTCCAATATGGCGGGCCATTTGAGGCTGGGAAGGTCTCAGCCAACAGGTGGGGACAATAATAAGCTTCAGAGGATCAGCAGTAGTTGTAAAAAGCACTCCTTCAACTTGAATATAGGAAGAGAAGACAACTGCTGACCCTGCATTGGAAAAAAAAAAAAAAGTCCATCACACTTTTCCCTGGTTCAAAATTAGCCCTCCTTTGCAGCCAGCAGGGAGTAAGACTTTGCTCTCCATCTCTGCCCTCATGAGAAAGCAGTGTCCTTTCTGGTGGAGCTGAACAGCAGAGCTGGCTTCAAAGCAGTGAGAATTATGTTGCCATCTTTCCTGCTCAGAGGACAAGTGGAGTAGGAGGGACATGAGGTTCCTCCCTTTCTCTCTGAAACAAGAGAGGATCAGCTGCAGGCTGATAATTTTATGGTTCTTTTCCTGTGCTTTCATTGTGCCAATACTGCAAATATCATTAGATCAAGCTGGTTGCCACCAGGACCCATTCAGGAAGGACCGGGTTGGAAACACCTGTCAGAATATTGCTTTTAAACAGCAATCAGAGTCAACGAGTGACCTGTTTTCAACAACTGATCTGTTTATTTCAAAAAGATTTATTCAGCAGCCCTCAGTCTTAAGGAGCCATTACAAATGTCAGGCATATAAGAATGGACACTATGTCTTATCTTTGTAAATACTGGGCTAAATGCAAGGAGAGCTATACTGTGCAAGAAAACAAAAGTAACATTGATTTCCAAATCAAAGTTTTGCTTAGCCGTTGCCACTTAAGAAGGTTACAAATTCCAAATGAGTATCATGTTTCCGAAAGCATATATTTTCAATAGCCACCAGTACTGGTTATCCTGAGTTCTGGACGATGAACGTAAGGCACCTCAGGCCTCATTCTAGCAGGTATTGCAGTTCAGAAGAGTCAAACTGCAAATTCAAATAATCAATACTCAATAATTATGAAAAATCAGGCCTACTCTGTGTTAAATGGGAAGTAATGAAAGCAGATAAAGTCTGTGGTCACTTCCCATGCCAGGACTGTACCACCCTGGTTTATAACCTCATCACTTAACAGACATTGAATTGTCACCAGTACAGAAT